TTTTTTTTTTTTGGTTTTCCTATAATTGTGCAAATGTCATGTGTCTCATTTTTTTTTTAACAATTAATCTTCTTCTCTGGGTTCAACTTACTGAAGATTTGATTGAAGATGGCTCATGTTCTTGGTAGTATGTCTCTTTTGTCTTCACATAAATGTAGTTTTTGCTGAAAGTCCTCTTTTGAGTTTCAACAATGACCCTAAAAAAGGTCTATTTTCTAATTATTTTTTCCCCAAATTGTTAATCTTCTTGTCAAAATTCATTCTATCTTTGTAGTAAGTAATTATTATTATTCTTTTTTAGCACCAACCTTCATTTTTGGTGCTCTGTAATGTTCTGAAGTAAAAAAAATATGTATTTTTTTTTTGTATTTTATTCTGCTCAAATACTAATCTAATTGTTGTTCTCATAATGATTGTTTTTTTTCTTTTGTGGTTGTTGAAATAATATGTTAGTGTGAGTTATTTCAATTGAGAACAATTTGGACTATCTCTGCTGTCATACTAAAACCTTATCTGTGGCTATTTTTTAGTGCACATGGCTTTCTCTATGGCTATTTTTTCTTTTTTTTTAGGTTGAAATTGATTTTACTCCTGATACATCTTCAATCTCTAGCTGTGGTAAGTTTGTGAGCTTCTGATTGGTGGATACATGCATCAGAAATAAGGTAACCTTTTAAGTTATTTGGTATCTCTAATGAAACTAATGTAATAGTGTTACTCTTAAATCAGGGTAATTTAGATGTTTAGATGTTTATTAATCATGAATTTCTGAATTTGCATAATCTTTTCCAATAATATGTGTTGTGGGTTAACAGAAATAAATGTATGGATTTTATTCAGTGTAAACATGACTGCTTTTGTTGTACAATACATTCTCACTGTACATCTTGTTTTCATTTTTTTTNTTTTTTTTTTTTTTTTTTGCAGACTTGTATCAAAAATGGAATCTCAAAATTCTGAACATTATTCAAGTTCCCAACCAGCTGTAAATTTTTCCAAGCCACCACAAACTACAAACCAATTCAACCCACTAAACATTCAAATGCAACCTCTTTATCACTTTGATCCAACAACAGGAACATATATTTCTGTTAACCCACAATACAGACCTGGATTCTCCTTCCAAAATCTTTTAAACTCTCCAATTGGTAATTCTGAAGGTGAAGTTGCAGCAAGGGAACGGAAGAAAAAAGCTAAACATACGAAAAATTCTAACAGTTCCCAAGCTTCACTTGCAAAAAAAGATTGGACCAAAGAGGAAGAAATTGCTTTAACAAAAGCATGGTTATATATTTCTGAGGATGCTGATATTGGAACCAATCAAAAGGGAGCAGCTATGTGGGATCGCATTTTGGAGGTGTGGAGAGAGAGTATGGGGGCTGAATGCAACTTTTCCAGAAATAACAATAGCCTACAACTCAAATGGTCCAAAATACAAGGTGCCGTAAGCAAATTTCATTCTCTGTATGAGCGTTTAGAAAGACATCCACAAAGCGGTACAAACTCGGAGGATTTGGTAAGAATATTATGTTTTTCCTAAATTTCAATCTTATATAATTAATAAAAATAAATGATGCTATAAGTTTAGGGCTGTATTTTATTTCTCTTTATTTACAAGTTGTTAGTTTTTTTTTTTTAAATTTATTTATTTACATGTTGTTAGCTTTTTTTTTTCTTCTACATGTTGTTAGCTTAAACTTGAACGAATGTTGAACAGACTAAATACATAGTGTTTTTATTTTTTTTTATGCAGATAATAACTTCTATGAGGTCGTATGAGGATTTGCACGACACTCCTTTCAAATTTATTGATTGTTGGAAAATTTTGATTAAAAATCCCAAGTGGTGCTCTAAAGAACTTACAAAGGCTGCAACATCAACGAAACAAGGGGTTGAGCACAAGATGAGCACAATGACAGGTGAAGCTATGACAGCAAATGGTGATGGTGATGTACCTGTATCTACCAATATTGATGGTATTGAGCGGCCAGAAGGAAGGAAAAAATGCAAAGAAAAAAAAAGAAAGCTAAATGAGGAAAAGGGAGTTGTGGATGCTTTAAACAAGTTGCAATGCACTCTAGAGAAGCAAATCAGCGTCAATCAAGCAAACTTGGAGATGAAACGAGAAAATGAAGAGAAGGAGTTGAAATTGCGGGAGGAGGTAATGAGAAAAGAGCTTGAACTTAAAGAGAGAGCTCAAAAAATGAAGGAGAAAATGTATAGGGTGAAGATGAGGGAACAAAGGAGACAAGAGCAAGATCGGCTTATGAACCAAGATCTTAGCAAGCTTTCACCAACTCGTCGAGCATATTACGAGCTTAGGAAGATAGAGATATTGAAAGAGTTGGAAAATGAATCTCCTCGTGAGTCTAATATGGTATGTTTTATTATTTGGCTTGACTTTATTTGATGTCTCTTAAATGATATATATTATTGCATTGATTTTTGTTTTTTATTTTTTTATTTCAGGACTTATGATGAGCATATCGTTTGGAGTTTGGGATGACTTTTGCTTAAGACCTTGTAGTGTGCTAAGTGTAAGATCAATTCATATGAAGTATTTGTTATTAATGTTCTTTCTTCTATTTTCTTTGTGTTTCTTTGGATTGATTAATACTCATTTGGGGATGACAAGTTGTTTGATTTTGGTTGAATGGATTATGGATAGTAATGGTTCAGTCCACATCTTGGGTTTATAAGTCTTATTAGGGGAAAAGTAATCACAATAGAAACCATTGCAGGAATTTATCTGCAAAGTAAAGATTACAAAAAGTGATTCACATCAAAAACAGATAAGTACATAATAACATAAATTTTGTGAATATTAAAATTAACAGGCAGATGGAGTTAAACTTTTGAATAGTGATTGTGTCCCTAAGACATGTGCAAGAATGACAAGATCATTGAAATAGTTAATCACCGCAGATTAAATAAATGAAAATTAACTCATTAATGGACAAGTGGAGTAGACAAGCAAATCATTCCGAGATTCAAGTAAATTAAATTAAAATTTAAAACAAATTATTGCTTACAATTGGATCAGAGCATCATTAAAATAGTTAATCACCATAGATATCAAATAGATAAAAATTAACTCCTTACTGGACAAGTGAAGTAGACATGCAAACCATTCCCATAAGTAAAATAAATCAAAATTTAAAACAAATTATTACTTAATATTTTTTACTTAATATTCCCAGATTCAATGGTATATAATATGTATTATAGTTTGCAACCGATAAAATCAGTTTATTCATTAAAGTTGACGGTTAAACATGAATCTTTTTTTTTTTTTTTGTCAATGTGACACATTTTGAAAACACAATTAAAATTAAAGGTAAAGCGACTAACAAACTCATCAATATTCGAAATAGTTGAACAAAGTAAAAATTTAAAAGCTAAAAAATTATAAATAAAATATCAATCTATTTGATAGCCACCATGTTGCTCCCACAAGTGATCGATAAGATCTTTCTTCAAATTTTTATGCACCTTTTTGTCTTGGACTTGTTTTATTCTAGTATTCATCCGCGATAAAAGAAAGGTGAAATCATGCTCGGGGGTAACATTCTCAACTCCATCATCTCCATGAGGTTGCCAAGTTTCGGGATTAATGCCTTTGTCATGTTCAGACTCAATAATCATGTTATGCAAAATGATACAAGTCTTCATTATTTTTCCCAATTCTTTGGCATTCCACATACGTGCTGGACCTTTAATTATATGCCATCGACTTTGTAAGACTCCAAATGCTCGTTCTACATCCTTTCGCACAGCTTCTTGGTACTTTGCAAATATTTTTTCTTTCATAGTTGACGGATGGGCTATTGTCTGGATCAAAGTGGCATATTGGGGATAAATACCATCAGATAAATAATATCCCATATTATAGTGGTTTCCCTGTACTACAAAGTCGCATGGTGGCGCAATTTCATTAATGATGTCATCAAATAGTGGAGATCTATCTAAGACATTTAAATCGTTGTTTGTACCAGCCATGCCAAAAAATGCATGCCATATCCATAAACTTTTCGAAGCAACAATCTCTAAAATAAGGGTTGGAACTCTCTTAAAACCATTGGTGTGAGTACCGTGCCACGCCGTAGGACAATTTTTCCAATGCCAATGCATACAATCTAAACTGCCAAGCATACCTGGAAATCCCCGAGCCTCGCCTTCTTTTAATAAGTTAGCAATGTCATATTTATTTGGTCTTCGCAGATATTGTTTTTCAAAAACTCCAATAATAGAATCACAAAAATGTTTTAAGCTCTCAATTGCCGTGCTTTCTCCAATTTGCACATATTCATCAAGGAGATCAGCTGCACAACCATACGCCAACATGCGTACTGCCGCAACCATTTTCTGTAGAGGACTTAACCCTTTTTTCCCCACCGCATCAACCTTTTGCGTAAAATAGTCATCATAATTTTCAATTGCTTGTAAAATGCGGTTGAATAATTCTATATCCATTCGAAATCGACGGCGAAAATGTTCAGGTGTGTACTTTGAGTCATTGCCGTTGAAATAGTCATTAATAATTAATTCATGACGTCCTTCCCTATCTCGATGAATGTAGCGTCTACTACTAGTCGTTCCACCATGAGGGCGTGAGGTGCTTGTTAAGAATGAAGACATTATCACAGGAATGTGAAACGAACAAGTTTGTACAACCTCACAGTTCGATTGCTCAAAAAATGTATCATCTTCTAACGGCTTGTCTATTAGTTGATTGGTTAGCGAAAACGCATCGTCGCTTGATGATGAGCTATAAGAATCCAATTCTTCGTCTGTTGAACTCATTGTGTCCTACATTGCAAATATAAATGTTAAGATGATGATGATGATAATAATAATAATAACAATAATAATAATAATAATAATAATAATAATAATAATAATAATAATAATAACAACAACAACAACAATAATAATAATAAAACAAAAGTACTTTTGTATATAAATATATCTTTGAAGGAATATATATTATAATAACTAGGAAGCAAATTTACCATTTATTACAATTTCAATACATAAAATGTATATGTATTGTTTATATAAAACAAATAAAATAAAACTGAAAAAAAAAAATCAATGAAATTCAAGGAGTGAAAAACATATATGTTTATTGCTATAAATATATGACATGGTTTTCATTGAATGATAGCTCACTAACAATTTTATTTTTTTGAAAAAAATAAGAAATTACTAAATAAAGAAAAACATATTTGGTTGCCATGAATTACCTGAGTGAGTACAATGCTATAAACAATTGTGTGCATTTATAAAGATGATTGTTTTAAATGGAACAAATTTGCTGATTTTTTTCCAATTTTCATGTTCTAAGTGGTAAAACCAAACTACCTTTTCAAAGTTTGTTGGGGGAGACCGGGAAAGGAAGGAAAAAATTAAGCCATTTATTAGTTAAATTAAATTTTAAATCGTCTAAGACATTGAGTGAAATAAGTGCATTAAAGTTGGTTCCAAATTTTACGTGGATGTCAAGTACATTCATTTTACATTCATTAGACAGTACCACTTATATCATGACATGTGGCTTCAGTTTTTCAATGTGAATGGGAGAGCACTAAAGATGCTCTTAAGCACTGTGTTGGCAGTACGATTGACTAACTCCACGGTGTCTCCATCTTGTGTCTTGTGATTGGACGAAATGTTTCTCTATAGAGGACGGGAATAACAATTTATTTCCAAATCAAATCTAGGAACAATAAGATTGAATAGAAAATATCAATATATTCTTTTAAAGTCTAAGGAAATGAAAGTTTAAAAATGGAGGTAGATCAAAAGTCTAATTCAAAATTTATATCCATTGAATTTGAACAATAGATTTAGAAAAAGAGGATATACGATCGATCATGAGCTGGGGCTTTAGTGTAGCTTGGTTATGGATCGGAGCTCCCTTAGTTCGACTTAGATGAGACTAGTCGAGGACTCGAGGTAGGTTCAGCGAACGATAGGTCAGTTATGAACCTATGACCTATGTAACCTGAAACATCAGCCAGTGAATTGGTACAAGATAGAACATCTAATTCTAGTGGGTGACTTTGGGTCGACCTAGTGAATTGGCAGAGACGTTAACCACGTGACGTCTAAGGGAGATAGGATTATGAGGATCATGAGGTTTGGAATATATGGAAATAAAACTGGA